CACAGGGATGACCAGAGACTGCGGACAGCACAGGGATGACCAGAGACTGCGGACAGCACAGGGATGACCAGAGACTGCGGACAGCACAGGGGATGACCAGAGACTGCGGACAGCACAGGGATGACCAGAGACTGCGGACACACAGGGATGACCAGAGACTGCGGACAGCACAGGGATGACCAGAGACTGCGGACAGTACAGATGACTGCTGACCTTTGGGGAGGTGGGGAGCGGGTACCTGAATTTGACAGGTACCCGCTCTTACTTCCGCAGAGTTTTTGTTTGATCTTACCTGTTCCTCGATCCAAGCGCGTTGTCTAGTATAGTGTAAGTGCTTTTTTTGTTTAGCACTGATCACTGTATTGGTGTCACTGGGGATGTCAGTAACACCAAGTCAGTTCCTCCCAGCATCAGAATGTCTTCTGCAGTCCTGCTATAAGTCGCTGATCGCCGACAATACTAGTAAAAATAAAAAATGAAAAAAAAAATCACAGTATATATACCGCCATTTGTAAACTCTATAACTTTCACGTAAACCAATTAATTTACATGTATTAAGATTTTTTTTTATCAAAGACATGGAGCAGAATACATTTTGGTGTAAATTTATGCCGAAATTAGATTTTTTACATTTTTTTTACTGGACATGTTTAATAGCAAAAAGTCAAAAATATTTTTTTCTCACTAATTGTCGGTCTTTTTTTAGAACGCAAAAAAATAAAAATCGCACAGGCGATCAAATACTACTGAAAGAAAGCTAAATTCGTGGAAAAATAAGGACGTAAATTTCATTTGGGTGCATCGTTGCATGACCGCGCAATTGTCAGTTAAAGTAACGCACCGTAACCCAAAAAATAGCCTGGTCAGGAGTGGGGGGAATCCTCAGGAGGGCAAGTGGTTAAATCAGCAAAATAAATTCAATTCCAGATGCATCAATACAAATGGTTTACAAAAGTCCTGTAGTTCATTTTCTTAAGAGATCAGCCTTCGAGTTTGAAAGCCTGTTCCCTGCCACCATTTGTTTCTGTGTGTAAGCAGTAGTCTCTCTGCAGAGGTCTGATACACTCCCTACTGAGTCCGAGCTAGAGCTCTCCTGTCAGCAGAAAGCATGAGATTGGTTGGCTGATTGCAGAGCTATAGTTTTGGTGGTGGTGGGGCATTACAGACCTCTGCAGAGAAGACCACTGCTTCCACACAGAAAACAAGGACCCCCACTATGCAGCATACAGCAACTGTAAGACTTTGTACACCTTGGGGTTGATTTACTAAAACTAGAGAGTGCAAAATATGGTGAAGCTCTGCATAGAAATCATTTAGCTTCCATTTTTTTTTTTCAAAGCTTAAAGTGATACTAAAGTCTTCTTTTTTCCCTTAAAAATAACAAACATGTTATACTTACGTGCTCTGTGTCATGGTTTTGTACAGAGCAGCCCGGGTCCTCCTCTTCTTAAGTCCCCCGCTAACACTCCTGGCCCCTCCCTCCTGTCGGGTGCCCCCATAGCAGAAAGCTTGCTATGGGGGCACTCAAGCAGGCACGCTCCCGAGCTGTGGCTCTGCATGTCCATTCGCACACAGAGCTGCAGCTCTGCCCCACCCCCTCCCTCTCCTGATTGGCTCACTGGCTGTGGTTGACAGCAGCAGGAGCCAATGACTCTGCTGCTACCTTAGCCAATCAGGAGTAAAAGTCCCCGAAGATCCAAGGCTCTCTTGGACATCGCTGGATCAAGAGGGGGCTCAAGTAAGTGTTAGGGGTGGGGCTGCTACACATGGAAGGTTTTTTACCTTGATGCATAGAATTCATGAAGGTAAAAAAACTTGAGACTTTAGAACCACTTTAATTGAACAAGCTGTAGTTAGAAGCTGAAATGGACTCCCTTGTGTTTTGATGTGCCCAGAATGTATTTAGCTGAGTTAAAGTATATCTAAACCCAAGCGCAAAATTGTAATATATAGTGGCTTACCTGTCCTTAGCTGTGGTGGCTGCTTTCATTTTCTGTTTTTTTTCAGACTAAGTGCAATTTCTGCAAGTACAGAAAAATACCTGTAAAAATCTTGTGACTTGCTGTCGGCCTTATTGGCTATTGTCCGTTAACTACAAAACAACTCCCCCTATACAATAGAGATGAGGATGGGTACAAAAAAAGTGAAAAGCCTGAAAAATGAAAACTAGCACAGGAAACACATCTAAGGACTGGCATGCTGCAGTTTATTACATGTTTGTTTTGGGGTTTAGATACACTTTGAATTGAATGTTTACATGGGCTTTAAGCAATTAACAGAGAGAATAACCAGGAGAAAGTCTTACAATGGCCGTGGCAGGTAGGAGGAGCTGGGAACTAAGATGCAGACATCATATTGCCTTGATCCCTGAGAGATACAAAGTAAAGGTTCACATACACCTATGCACTTACAAACTGAAAGCACAGTTGGGCCTTTATACACTGCTAAAAAAAAATTAAAGGAACACTTTTTAATCAGAGTATAGCATAAAGTCAGTTAAACTCCTGGGATATTGATCTGGGCAGTTAAGTAGCAGAGGGGGTTGTTAATCAGCTTCAGCTGCTTTGGTGTTAATGAAATTAACAACAGGTGCACTAGATGGGCAGCAATGAAACGACCCCCAGAACAGGAATGGTTTTACAGGTGGAGGCCACTGACATTTTTTTCCCTACTCATCTTTTCTGACTGTTGTTCACTAGTTTTGCATTTGGCTAGGGTTAATATCACTACTGGTAGCATGAGGCGATTCCTGGACCCTACAGAGGTTGCACAGGTAGTCCAACGGTCTGGGGAGGTATATCCATCGAGAGACACTCAGACCTCTACAGGCTAGACAATGGCACCCTGACTGCCTGCAATTAGGTATCGGGATGAAATCCTTGGACCCATTGTCAGACCCTATGCTGGTGCAGTGGGTCCTGGGTTCCTCCTAGGGTTAGTGTCACTACTGGCAGCATGAGGCGATACCTGAACCCTATAGAGGTTGCGCAGGCAGTCCAACTGCTCCGGGATGGCACATCAATACGTGCCATTTCCAGAAGGTTTGCTGTGTTTCCCAGTACAGTCTCAAGAACATGGAGGAGATTCCAAGAGACAGGCAGTTACTCTAGGAGAGCTGGACAGGGCCATAGAAGGTCCTTAACCCATCAGCAGGACCGGTATCTGCTCCTTTGTGCACAGAGGAACAGGATGAGCACTGCCAGAGCCCTACAAAATGACCTCCAGCAGGCCACTGGTGTGAATGTCTCTGACCAATCAGAAACAGACTTCATGAGGGTGGCCTGGGGGCCCGACGTCCTCTAGTGGACTCTGTTATCACTTCCGGGCACCATAGAGCTCGATTGGCATTTGCCATTGAACACCAGAATTGGCAGGTCTGCTGATGGCACCCTGTGCTTTTCACAGATGAGAGCAGGTTCTCCCTGAGCACGTGACAGACATCAGATGGTCTGGAGAATGTTATACTGTCTGTAACACCGTTCAGCATGACCGTTTTGGTGGTGGGTCAGTGATGGTCTGGGGAGGCATATCCATGGAGGGACGCACAGACCTCTACAGACTAGACAATGACACCCCCCACGTGGGGGGCCATACAAACTATCATTTTGAGTTGCTGCAATGAAATTTAAGCAAAATGGACTAGCCTGCTGCATAATTTTTTCACTTTGATTTTTGGGGTGTCTTTAAATTCAGTCCTCTCTAGGTTGATATTTTTCATTTCCATCAAACGATGGGGCATCCTTACATTCCTAACACATTACCCCATCCATATCAGTATACATATCCAACATGATATTTTTCCCCATTGAGATCTGATGTGTTTTCAAAGTGCTCCTTTAAATTTTTTTGAGCAGTGTATTATATTACAGAAAACATACAGTAGATGAGATGGTTGGGACTGTGGTGCAGAGACACTGGCAAAAAGATCTGCAAATCACAGTAAATCTACAGCCTCTATGTAATTTAGTATCTAACAATACAGTAGGGCTCATTCACACCTACTGCATTGAGCTACATTGATCTCTTTTGATTGACACAGGCTAAATGCAAGGACACAGTAAATACTATTGCTTTGTATGTGCTTCGTCCACACCAGAGAACTGCGTTGGTGTGTGCTGGAGAAAATGTAGACATGCTGCAGTTTTTTGCCACGCAACAGAAAAAAGATGTGTTACAGTGCACATGAACATGTCACAACATGCTGCTGTGCTATAGACTAACATAAAATTTAAAGAATATGTAAACCCCAATATTTTTATATTCCTGATATGTGCCTGCTATACCATGTGCTTTTATGAAAAAGTATCCTGTTTTCTTTGTATTGCTTCTCTTGTGTGAAATCCCTGGTGTTCCTGCCAGTTCCTCTGCTTTTCGATTAAAACTGACCACAGTAGGCATAAGAGCACAGCGTGGTCAGTTTTCTAGCTGTGTTGAGATCTCAGCCTGCTCTCCTCCAATGATCAGGCTTGTCCTGACATGCACCCCCTGCACAGACATTCAGTGTGCTGCTGTTTTTCTCCCCGAGCTCCTTATGCAGCTGAGAACAGACGGTATGTTAATCACTTATAAAAAAGGAACAAAATTATTGTATATACTGTTTTTTTATATGTGTACACAAAAGTTTCATTTCTATTTGAAACTGAATGGGTTGTTTTACAAAGTGAGTGTTTACAATCACTTTAAAAAAAAGGGAAAAAAGCAAGCATTTTAGCAATGCATTTCAGTGCATGACAGCCTGCATTTATACTGCACACCAGCGCACATATGTTTTGCGCACAATAGCACATGCTGTGCGTTGTGAACAAGCCCTCAATGAAGAACTGTAATTGCCCATGACAACTGTATTTTCTTTGTCCATTTGCAGGATGAGAAGATAAAGCAAACACATCTAGTTGGTTGTCTTAGAACTGAATATAGTTTTGTGTTCAGATATTATGACTAATTAATACAATGCACGGAGGATTCCAGATATACTAACAAAATCTTTCCCTTGTTCCTAGGTAAAGTGGATGATGTACTGGATCATATTTGCACTTTTCATGACAGTAGAAACATTTACTGATATATTTCTGTGTTGGTAAGTGTCTCATGATATTCTTTTACATTACATTATGTATGCAGTTTATATTTCTTATAGCGGTAGTGCTTGGTGACTTGTACCTACAGGTAAACTTATAACAAAACTTACGTGTAGGTGCATTGAATATCTCCTAAACGTCCACCGTTCAGGAGATATTCACTAGTTCTGCAGCCAGTGACATCACCAGGGCATGTGCAATGGGTACTGAAGGGATAGCCTAGTGAGCATGCTGTCCCTTCAGAGTGCTGTGCCGTGATCGTGGCTCCTGTGTGCAGAAGTGACATCAACGTGCTTCGTTCATTCAAATGGCTGGAGCCTACAGGACCAGGTATAAGGGGGTACCACCAGTCCTCCTGTATGGGACCCAGGCCAATGGGGGGGGGCCAGGCAGCTGGGTGAATCGGATGTGGGCAGGGAGGGTGATCGGCACGGCAGGGGGGCAATTACTGGAGCCGATCCCCTGTATGGCTCTCCCTACAGCAGCTGAAAAATGGCTTCTTCTTCTCTCCCTCCCGCTGGCTTTCAGCTGTTGCAGAGAGATCCATGCAGGGGATCAGTTCCAGTAATTGCCTGCCCCACCTCACCCATCACTCTCCCTGTGCACCATTTGTTTCCTCCTGCTGCCCAGGTGCCCCGTGTGCTCCCACCCCCACAGTGCTGCTGGCAAGCACACAATAGATTCCTTATTATTATACAGGATTTATATAACGCCAACAGTTTGCTCAGCACTTTAAAATATAACGGGAGACAATACAGCAACAATACAGTTCAATACAAGAGGGTTAGGAGGGCCCTGCTCCTTGGAGCTTACAAGCTAAGAGGGAGGGGCTAGTGGTACAAAAGGTAGTAACTGTGGGGGATGGACTGGTAGGAGGAGTAGAAGATTCCATTATTAGCTGAGGGCAGGATAGACTTCCCTGAAGAGATAGGTTTTCAGAGATCATCTAAAAGTGAGCAGAGTAGGCGATAGTCTGATAAATTGGGGTAGAGAGTTTCAGAGGATGGGGGAAGCTCTGGAGAAGTCCTGGAGATGAGCATGGGAAGAGGAGACAAGGGAGCTAGAGAGCAGGAGGTCGTGTGAGGAGTGGAGAGTATAGTTTGCCTCAAATTACTTCACCAATCTTGTCTCCAAATATCACCCAGAGTTATATATGGCTTTATATGTTATTGTTAATGTTTTGAATTTTATCCATTGGGCAACTGGAAGCCAGTGGAGGGATTGGCAGAGAGGGATGGCAGATATGCAACGGTTAGTAAGCTAGATGAGTCTGGCAGCAGCATTCATGATAGACTGAAGAGGGGATAGCCTGCGATGAGGTTGGCCAGTGAGGAGGGAGTTACAATAGTCAAGGCGAGATATAACAAGGGAGTGAATAAGTTGTTTAGTAGATTCAGAGGTTGAAATGGGTGTATCTTGGAGATGTTGCAGAGGTGAAGTCTACAAGATTTGGACAGTGATTGGATTTGGAGCTGAAAGGACAGATGGGAGTCTAGGATTACACCTAGTACCCTGGCATGAGGTGAGGGACTGATGATTGTGTTACTGATCTTAATGGAGAAGTCAGGGGAGGGGCACGGGCTGGAGGGAATAGTATGAAGGATTTTGAAAGATTGAGTTTGAGGAAGTGGAGTGACATCTTTGCCGATATGTCTTTTTGTAGGTTAGTAATGCGAGACGAGACTGAAGGGGCAAGGTGAGGAGTAGAAATATAGATTTGTGTGTCATCAGCATAGAGATGGTACTTGAAGCCATGGGAGTTTATCAAGTGACCAAGGGAGGAGGTGTAGATGGAGAAGAGAAGGGGTCCAAGGACGGAACCTTGAGGGACCCCTACAGAAAGTGGAAGTGGAGAGAAGGAGACAGAGTTATAGGTAACACTGAAGGAGCACTGCGATAGGTAGGAGGAGAACCAGGAGAGAGCAGAGTCTCGCAGGCCAAGAGAGTGGAGTTTTTTGAGGAGGAGGGGATGGTCAAGTAGCTGCAGAGAGGTCAAGTAGTAAGAGTATAGAGTAGTGGCCATTGGTTTTAGCAGTTAGTAAATCATTAGTGAATTTTAGTAGGGCAGTTTCAGTGGAGTGTAGTGAGCGAAAGCCAGACTGTTAAGGGTCAAGAAGGTTGTTGTCGGTGAGGTGGGAGCTCAGGCGATTGTAGACTAAGCGTTCTAAGAGTTTAGAGGTAAACGGGAGCAAGGAGATGGGTCTTAAGTTGTTCAGGTTGGTGGGGTCCAGGGAGGGCTTTGTAAGTATGGGAGTGATGTGCGCATGCTTTAGAGGGGTGGGGAAGTGCCGTTAGAGAGGGAGAGATTGAAGATGTGAGTGAGGGAGCATAGGATGGAAGAAGAGGGTGACCGTAGTAGTTGTGAGGGGACAGGATCCAGGGGGCAGGTAGTGAGAAGGGTTTCTGAGAAAACCTTAGTGACCTCTTCAGTAGTAGCAATGTTCCTTCAAGATGGAGAGTTGGGGAAGGGTCCAGTAAATATGTTACATTTACCAGCCCCTTTCTTTCCTGAATGAACGCAATGAATGATCAGTACTGATAATTCACTGTGTTCATTCATAATGGAAGCTTAGTAAACTTTGCTTTTTTGGGGGCTCCGTGGTTTCTAACAGCTGCTATGGGAGCCTACAAACTCAGAAGGAAGCCCTGGTGAAGATAGAAGCCCTGTCAGTGGAGACAGTGCGCTGCTTCAGGGCTTTATTTTAAGGTAAGGCTACTTTCACACTGAGACGTTTTTGAAGTGTTTTTTTTGTGGTAAAAAAAGCGCCTGAAAAGCTCAAGAAAAATGCTTCCCTATATATGTGAATGTATATCTATGTATGTTTTCACACTGAGGCGTTGTGCTTGCGGTGCAGTGTAAAAACTCCTACTTGCAGCATCTTTGGGGCATGTTTAGTGAGTTAAAAAAAAATGCCCCCAAAACACCTATTCCCATTGAAATCAATGGAAAACGCCTGAAAAGCGCCTCAAAAATGCATGGTGCCATTTTTAAGTCACATGTCCTTTAACCATTTGGCCTATGGCCAAATGGCATCCGCAAAAATGTATTAGCTTTCCGGGAGGCCGCCATATGGCGTCCTCCCGCACATGTGCAGTTCGCGCGCTTGCAGAGCCGCGCAGCGGCGCGATCTGTCACCGGCCGTGTACCTCAGACACGGTCGATGACTGATCTGAGTACCGGCCCCCGTTGCGGGTACCATGTGACCTGCTGTGACCAATCACAGCAGGTCACATGACAGTTGTATACAATGGATGGCTTCATTCATGCCATCCATTGTATACTAGTGTCTAGCTGTGAACGGTCACAGATAATCACATGCACATGTCATGTGATTAGCTGTGGCCAAATCACAGCTAAGCACAAAAAAAAAAAAAAAAAAAACCCTGAATGAATCGATGTCATTCAGGTAAATGCTTGCTTATAGCAAAGTAATTCTTTGCTATAAGCAAATTGTGTAAAAAAAAAAAAATACTGATCACTTCCCCAAAGTAGTACAATGTTACTATGGTAACATTGTACTACTTTGGACATAGTGAAATATGGAAAAAAAAATCTGAAAAAAAAGAAAAAAAATTTAAAATAAAAAAAAATATATATATTTTTTTTTTCACACTATCACCAGTCAGTGTCCCTGATCACCGCCATGCCAGTTATATGATGACGCTGTACTGCACTGGTGACAGTATGTAAAAAAAAAATAGTGAAAATAATTTTTTTTATTTTTTCATTTTCCGAAAAATTATGACAAAAAAAATACAACTTCAAAAAACTCGCCATGCCTCTTATGAAGTACGTCGGACTTTCTACTTTGCAAAAAGGGGTCATTTGGGGATATCTGTACTGTTCTGACATTCTCGGACCTCAAGAAATTAGATTGGCTGTCAGTACTTCAGGATTGATCAATATTCAGATCTATACCATAGTTTGTGAACTCTATAACTTTCCTACAAACTAAAAAATACATCCTAATTTGGGTTATTTTCACCAAAGACATGTAGTAGAATACATCTCGGCCTAAATTTATGAAGAACAATTATTTATTTGCAAACTTTTATAACAGAAACAAAGAAAAACGTGTTTTTTTTTTCAAAATTTTCATTTTTTTTTGTTTATTTAGCAAAAAATAAAAACCCCAGCGATGATTAAATACCACCAAAAGAAAGCTCTAGTTGTGTGAAGAAAATGATAAAATTTTAGTTTGGGTTTAATGTTGTATGACCGCGCAATTGTCATTCAAAGTGTGACAGTGCTGAAACCTGAAAAATGACCAGGAAGGTGTATAATTGCCCGGTATTGAATTGGTTAAAAACGCTCACAAAAACGCGACAGAAATGTGGTAAAAATGCCTATGCATTTTGGCTGTGTTTAGTGTTGGCTTTATGGTTAGGTTTAGTGAGTAGTGCAGCACTATTTATCTATTCATACTAGCACATTGTGCCCTTAACTTACAGAGGTATGGTTTTTTTTTTTTTAATCTTTTTTTTTGTAACCCAGGTTTTACTACCGCTTTAACAGATACGTATTTCTGCTTTTATCTTAGAATACAATATAGCCGGCCCTTTTCTTCAGTGGAAGTGCCTGTGTGCCTTAGTGTCTATTATCATATGTGTGAATAGTTATTTTTGTCTTGTCTTCCAGTTTTTATAACAATGTTTCATTATTTCATTTCTCTTCTTTTTTGTAAATCTATTGTATACCTGGATACTTTTGTATTTCTTAGGTTCCCATTTTACTATGAGCTGAAAATAGCATTTGTGGCCTGGCTCCTCTCTCCTTACACAAAAGGTTCCAGCTTACTTTATCGGAAATTTGTCCACCCCACCCTGTCATCAAAAGAAAAGGTATAGATGTTTGCATTCTCTTTTATTCTATTTACATTGTATGGATCATTACCTTTGTACATTTGTTCCATTTCCCCCACCACCTGAATGCAGTTTTGTATGTTAAGAGCTTTACAGTGAGCCGAGGTTCAGTGTATTCTGATAAACTGATGGCTGACATGTAGTAGACACTTGGATAGTGTAGGGAAGAGTTTAGGCCTTTGTCCTGGTAGAGGAGATTTTGCATTTCTTCTTGCCTTGTTGACACATCTTAAATTTACAGGAAGTGAGAAATCTCCCCGGTGGGAACACAGACAGCAATAAAATTTGAAAGAGGTTGTAATCCTTCCCCTCACTATCCAAAACAAAAAGACACTTTTGTTTTTGGTTGGAGTTTAAAGCTAAACTTAAAGTAGTTGTAAAGGCTGAAGGTTTTTTTGCCTTCCTGCAATCTATGCATGAAGGTAAAAAACCTTCTGTGTGCAGCAGTTCCCGCCACCCCCTCAATACTTACTTGAGCCTCATCGCGATCCGATGTGAATGACAGCCTCGGCTGTCCCGGGGTCTCTGCCTCCTCATTGGCTGAGACAGCAAACGGGAATGGACACACGGAGTAGTAGCGGGTGCCCCCACAGCAAGCTGCTTACTGTGGGAGCACCCGTCAGGAGGGAAGAACCAGGATAGCCTGCGGGGGACCCGAAAAGAGGAGGATCCGAGCTGCTCTGTGCAAAACTACTGCACACGGTAGGTAAGTATAGACATGTTTGCTTTTTTACCAAAAAAAAAAAAGAACTTTAGAATCGCTTTAAGGCAAGCATATAAATGCATAGATGCCATGCATATCAAAGAGCCAGAGGCATAACTAGAACCTTCAGGGCCCCAGTGCAAGAAACCATAAAGGGTTCCCTTGACCCAAAGCTGGAGCCCCACCATGGTGGCGGAATGCCAGGGCCCAGTCGCAACTGTGACTTTTGCAACCCTGGTAGTTTTGCTGCTGGTATCAGTAGTTTTTCTTTGTTTTGTTTTTTAATATAATTTTTTACCATTTTATTATTCTCGTTACTATTTTATTTTAATTTTTTACAAGCACCTTTTAGGGGCTTTGGTGAGATATCAGGGATCTAAATAGACCTCTGATGTTCCACCCACTGAAAGGCTGCAGGTGGAAAATGGAGGGAATCGGTTTCTGCCCCCCACGCCCCTCCTATCCAGGTTTACAGGGGACCACATGGGCCCCCTGGAGCATGGGGCTGGGTCGCAATTGTGACCCCTGCTACCCCTATATATATGCCACTGCAAAGCGCTGTTTTACTTGTCAAACTTTTTTTTTCTCTGGCCATTAATTCCTGAGATTTACACAGCCCTGCCAGACTGTACTTCCAGCCTGGAGACCTAACTTTTCTCTACTGCAGTCAAAGCTGAACAACCGGTACAAAAAAATTATTGATATATATTCCTCAATAACCACAATTAGTACAATTTTTGCTGGAGTTCAGCTTTAAAGGGTAACTCCACTTTCGTAAATAAAATAAAAAAATATATAAAAATGAATATAGCATAAACAATTGCTACACAAACTATAATGTAATTGAATGTTATTAAAAATGACCTTTCCTTTTCAAACTGTGGAGGTGTTCTGTGCACAGTGGTCTACAGAACTCCCCCATTATTTCCTGCTTGGGTGAAGAACTCTTCACTAAGGTACAAGTCAGGTTTTAGGCATCCTCTGCAACAAACATGTCATTTTTGGTGAGATTCTCCCTAAGAGTGCAGCTTTTCTAACCAGCACCAGTGCACGAGCTGACTGAAATGAATTAGTCACTCCCATTCAGAAACAGTATCCAAAAGACATAGTGGTACAAACAGCTATTCCTTCAGTGCAAAAACAGGTAGGAATCTGCAACAAAGTTTGTTAAAATCCCTGCAGTGTACATTGATCACCCAGAGGGGAATATTTATTTCTCAACAAAACTGGAATTGCTTTTTAACCGCTTGCCCGGCACCCTATAATAGAAGTACTGCTACAGGGGGGCAGGCAGGGCTGTGCAAAATCATGTATTTATACGTGATTTGCATTTTTGGTAGGGGGAGCGCATGCACATGCCATCCTACTCGCGCCGCCATTAGAGGCTAGGAATGTCAATCACCAGGTCCTGGACAGACATTCCCTGCCGGTACCTGTGATCGACGTGTAAAGCTGACAAGGGAAAGTCTCCTGCCCGCAAGGACATGCTGCTTTGTATTTCTCTGCGCCGCAGAAAAATATAAAGCAGCATATCTCCGTAGTAAAACAGCACATAATGTAAAACACACACATCACACAGTTAACCCTTTGATCACCCCAGATGTTAACCGCTTCATGCCCAGTGTCATTAGTACAGTGTCAGTGCTTTTTATTAGCACTGATCACTGTATTGGTGTCATTGGGATGTCAGTGGCAGCTAGTCAGTTCCCACCCAGTGTCAAAATGCCCACTGCAGTCCCACAGTCCCGCTGATCGCCGTCATTACTAGTATTAAAGAAAATAAAAATTCCAGTATCTATACCGCCATTTGTAGAAGCTAGAATTTCACGGAAACCAATTAATTTACACGTATTGCGATTTTTCCACCCTCAACATGTGACAATCAACCGCGACCAACAATAATACGTCACGCCCGCGGCGACAGATCCCAGACCTTCTCACCAAACTCGTGACCAATGGACCGGCCAATCTAAAACTGCGGTGTGACGCACGTAACAAGGCCACACTCAGCTGCGCTCTGCACAACGATAGTCCAGCTAATGGAACGCAATCGACGCACCGGCAGCCTGAATGCGCTTGTTACTGGGTTGGGTTAATTACGCAACTAACCCTTCACTGCCACCACCACTTTTTGTACAGAGAAAGGGGAAACTCTCTTAATCAAATATACACTGTAATGGTTGAAAAGTCGCCTGTCCAAAAAAGTCACTGCAGGCCGATTGGGCAGAGGATTAAACAAACACAGTAGCGTCTCTTCAAAAGGCAGGAATTCGTGAATTGCAAGTAAGCGCTTAGAAACAGTTTAACACTTTCAGAAAGAAAGATTTATTACTAAAAGAGTCAAACAGATGCAATAAAATATTTACAGAAAAAGATGTAACTAAGATTTATATTTATATATAGATAAAGACCCACAACACAGCAAAGAGATAATAGGAAGGAAGTTAAAGGGTTAAGTTACTTGCCAATACGCCTTGGTTTGTAAGCAGATCCAAGTTGCAGAGCGGAAAGGGTCTTTGATCTCCTGCTGTTACGATGTTAAGATCAGGAGATGTGTTTTGCTTAAGCCATAGGCTTGCCAGCCTGTCTTTTTAAAAATCCCCCTGCAAGGGGGGTGGCTCTGAATACTGGCCATTACGCTGTTTTGGGAGTGGTCAGTCGGGCGAACTCTGAATTAGAACCAACATCTGTCATAATCCATGACATGAAACATAGGGGAAAAAACCTGACTTGAGGAATGTTCATTTCATTCTGTCATCTTTAACTGTTAGGTTTTGTGAGGTTACAATCTCTTTCAATTCCTGGGAGAAACTGCGATTAAATACCACCAAAAGAAAGCTCTGTTTGTGGGAAAAAGGACATAAACTTAATTTATGTAAAGCATTGCATGACCGCGCAATTGTCAGTTAAAGTAAAGCAGCGTCGTATCGCAAAAAATGGCCTGGTCAGGAAGAGGGGTAAAACCTCTGGAGGGCAAGTGGTTAGTTGCTCTAACTAGGTCTTGTCCCTAACCCCCAGTCTGGGAGTGGACAGTGAAGAAACAGCAACATCCTGAAGGGCTCATCTCTCTGTCACCCTGCTCTCTCCTCCCACCAACATGTTTGTTATTAGCACATGAGCATTGTAGCGTGACTGATCGGCTTCTTGTGAAATTATTACTATATTGTTAATCATGAAAGAGTGCAATATTTTTCTGAAATGTATTGTGTCCCTCAGTAGACATAGTGCAGCCCCTTGAAGACTTAACTCAATTCTACCCACTGTTTCATTTGTGACTGACATGACTCCATCAGAGTGCCCTAGGAAAAACCTTGTTGTTTTAAAGTGTGTTTATTCCATTCTGGAAAGTTTGGATCTGACAGAAAGCCCTCTCATTGGTGGGCAAATACAATGGAATACATTAGTCCGGCTTAAAGGCTGTTACAGCATCTTTTTTCCACCTTCTGTTTATGTAGATACATTAGCTAACACCTGGTCCCCTCTTTTTTTTTACAATTCTAGGAAATTGACGAATGTCTCGTTCAAGCAAAAGATCGCAGTTATGATGCACTGGTTCACTTCGGCAAAAGAGGCCTCAATGTGGCTGCATCAGCGGCAGTCACAGCTGCAGCAAAGGTAACACAGACTTGCATTTTCAACATATTGGGGATTATTTACTAAAACTGCATGGTGCAAAGTCTGGTGCAACCAGAAACCAATCCGCTTTCAAGTTTTTTTGGAAGCTGATTGGCTTCCATGCAAAGCTGCACCAGATTTTGAGTGTTCCAGTTTTAGTAAATCTCCCCCACTGTGTCAGTGATGCGTGTGTGCAAGCCATAGGTTGTTTGTATTATATAGTATAACTCAAAGGGCAACTTCACAATAAATACACAGGAACTGTTTTAATCAGCAACAGACTGTCCACTGATGTTCATAATGATCTAATATACATAGTAGGGATGGTAGCACTCCATGTATGCCATCTCTACCTCTAAAAAGGCTCCAGAAAATGCAATAAACAAAAAACAAAGCATACTACACCTTCCTCTTTTGAGTTTACTTTTCCATCTCCCCATCTAAATACTGGGATGATATTTCATCTCTTTTCTATTCACTTCCTACCCTCCCTGCTTGATCTTACCTAAACATGTATAAACGCACCTCACGGTGAGGACGTCTAGTGACGAAACGCGTAGGGCGGTGTTTTGATGGGTGTGACGTCAGGACGTTCCCCGAGACTGTCGGTGGCTTGATCCGCAGTGAGCGGGGCTCGTCTTTTTAGATTGAAGGTTGTTTTTGCTAGTGTTGTCTGAGACACCATTTTTGTGAGTGTGTTATCATATTTTAATAAACTATGTGGTTTTAAATGTACTGCACCATGAATTTCCTCTCTTAATTCCCCGAGTACTGCTATTATCTTATGGAGAGACGGTGACCATACATTTGAGTGATTTCATCTGTGCTGAGTGCCTTGCTGCAGAGTATTGCTCCCAGACCTTGGAATTTTCTACAGATCATCGCTCCCAGAGCAATAGCGCTTATGCTGATTTATAATTTGATCAGCATATAGCTCTGGTGAGTTTATTCAATTTATTTGGTGGTGGATTCAATCATGGTGAATTTGTTTGAACACGGATTTTCAGATTTATTTACTATTGTCACGGATTTTTTTTGGAGTTTATATACACAAATAATTTGGACACTATTTTGCTTTCTATAATTTTTTATGATGTGATATATTTTTTCATTTTTTGCACAGTTTGATAATTTGATATAATTTAAGCGCATTCCTATGTTTATTTGTATTATGCACCTTTTTTGGGTTAGGTTTGCAGCTTTTTTGGAGTTTTTACTTGTGATATTTATTTTGGCGCTTTTCTTATAAAATTTCTAAAAATTGATATATAATCACTTTACTAAAGCCGGCCATACACGGGTCAAATTCCGGAAGAATTTTCTTTTGAAAATCTTTTCTAACAATTTTCCTTTAAATTTCGCACAATTAGTGGGTCACGGCAATGGCCGATTTTTGTGAAACCATCGAATTTGAGTGATCGGGCATGTTGGAAATGTTTAAAAAAAATGAATGAATCAATGATGGGAGAGTTGTGCGAGAAATGAGCATAAGCTGTGACCTGGAAAGAAAAGAAAATTCTTGGCCACAAAATTCTTTTCTGTAGCAACATGTGAAATTGAAGGCTTGGTTGGTCAAATTTCGCAATCAATGGTGGCACCATCGGATTACAAGACACATGAAAGTTCAAATTTTCTAAAGAAAATTTGTTCAGAATTCAACCCATGTATGGCCTGTATAATACATTGTATTGAAGGACGTATATGCTATATGAGCTTTGTTACAGAAGAGATTTATTTATTTCAGGTACTTATATAGCGCCGTCAATTTACGAAGCGCCAGGGGCAGACTGACAACTCATGGGGCCCCGGGGCAATAGGGGATCATGGGTTCCCTGTGTCCTTGCCCACACTCAAAGCAAACCCAGAAAAACCTATAAAAGGTACCAGGGGCATTTCATGGGACCCCCTACTGACCCCGGGCTTTGGGCCCGAGTGCTCGAATGGTCAGTCCGCCCCTGCGCAGCGCTTTACATATATATTGTACATTCACATCAGTCCCTAACCCTCAAGGGGTGTACAATCTAAGGTCCCTAACTCGCATTCATACATACACATACTAGGGACAATTTAGGCTAGGATCATATATGTGCGGGTGGTGCCACTGTGGATCCACACAAAAATCCCACCCACACAGAAGAATGCGGACCTGCGGGCGGGTTCCATTAATTCTAATGGCACGCCACCCGCACTGGAAATCGAGGTTCCCGTGCAGGCTGCGGTTTCCAAAGAGGTGCAGGGACTTCTTCCCTGCGTGTCACGGGGTACGGGAGTCCATTCAAATGAATGGGCTCTCGTGCCCTTGCAAAATCACGGCCCACAGGAACGCACATATGTGAACCAGGGCTTAGACAGGATCCAAATAACCTAACATCATGTCTTTGGAGTGTGGAAGGAAACCCACGCAGGCACAGGGAGAACATGCAAACTCCAGGCAGGTGGTGCCGTGGTTGGGATTCAAACCAATGACCCTAGTACTGCCAGGTGGAAGTGCTAACCATTTAGCCGCTGTGCTGCCCAGATTTTTGAGGAGTGATTTGTAGCAGCTAGATAATCTCTTTTTGATCACTCATTTTTGTGCTAGGGAAAAAATAATTGCAGCCAATGACAGGCTTATCTCAGCTATTCCAGCGATTTGTTGCTCATTTGGTTAGCAATTGACTTTTACCTTTGAAGTCATCTGCAAGGACCGTATAGTATGTTGTCAGTGAGCTGTTTGCCCTGAAGTAGTGTGGCACAGAAGAAATAGTGAGATTTGTGGAAACTGCAAATCTCGCCTACAATTTTGTTGGTGTGACGTGGCCATGTATCTTATGTTTTTATTTTTTTAATGGGGTTTGCACAAATTTTGGTCACTATGGCAACTGGAAAAAGTCTCCTGGCTACTAGCATGCCTTGTCTATATGCATCCCTTAGGCCTCGAAACTGGGGCCTGGGCCAGCGGGATCCCCAGAGCTGGTGGTGTTGTGTGTACTGATTAGTAATGGGGCTCAGAGAGAATAATTAAAACGGATCTAAACTATAAAAAAAACAAAAACTGCTAACAGGAAGGCTCTTTATTTCAAAATGGATATGTTATGTCTCTTCTGCAATCAGACAAAAGTACCTGTCTGTTGAGGCTACACATGCACAGCTCTGTGTACATTCTCAGCACACCATGGTGCCCAATGAACTCCCATGTGCAAAGTGGGGGAGATTTACTAAAATTGGATCACTCAGAATCTGGTGCATGGCAGCCAATCAGCTTCTATCCTCAGCTTGTTCAATTAAGCTTTGGCAATAAAACCTGGAAGCTGATTGGTTTCTATGCAGAAGTGAGCCTGATTTTGCACCCTCCAGCTTTAGTAAATAAACCCCAGTGCGTCCAGCAGCAAGCACCGCAGGTCAGGGGCGGACTAACCATTTGGGAACTCGGGCACCGCCCAAGGGCCCTGGGTCAGTAGGGGGCCACATGAGATGCCCCTGGTATCCACTGCGGATTGCTCTCCAGAGGTCACTGCTAGAGGAGTGGGCCCTGAGACTTTGGCACCCCAGTGCATTGTAACACGCTGCAATGCATGGTAATGCACCACGTTTTGTGACATTCGGTGCATTGGCAGCCCATTATTCTCAAAGGGCTGCCTTAATGCAACACATGTATAGCACATTAATTCACCACAAAAATGTAAGTGGGCCCTTAGAGATAGGTGTAAACTCTTTTTACCTCCTTAGATTTCCTTTGAAACCAGTTTAGCTTCGACTTCACCAACTATTTTGTTGTCAAAGGAAATTTTCGCATGGCCAAATGAAGATTAAAATATGAGAACATGGCCAACGCACAGCAAATGTCACGGAAAGAAAAGAGGCAAACATGCATGTAGGTGAAGGCCAAAGAACATAGAAAACTACAGATGTGATGTTGTCCCGAATACCACTCTAGGCAGGGGCCCAGAGAGCCCATACGGCCGAGACAGGCTTGCATGTTAGATGCATTGGGGTTGATGTACTAAAGACAAATAGACTGTGCACTTTGGAAGTGCAGTTGCTCCAGAGCTTAGTAAACGAGGTGGAGCTTCACTTTGCAAAGAATACCCAATCACATGCAAGGAAAATAAAAAAGAAAACAGCATTTTTGCCTGCACATGATGGAATGATGGACGTCAGTAGCTCTTCCCCACACTTATTTAGCTCTAGAGCAAATGCCCTTGCAGATTGCAACTGCACTTGCAAAGTGCACAGTTTATTTGCCTTTTGTAAATCATCCCCGTTGTGTACACTTGAGCAATGCATTTGAGGTTACTGTTGGAATGAAATAACTCCGGGGACTTGTTCTTTATAGAGAGTACATTTGGGACGCGCCTGTATTAGTACACTTCTGTATCTGGTTGTTTATTTAGCCGAGTCTCATGATGAGACTCTGCAGTACATTAATGGTAGTGCTGTCAGCTCGACTTTCATCTGACATCATTTTCTCCGGTAGCCTAGTTTTATCAAAACATGATTTCTGGGAATCTAAGCCTTGTCATATTCTTCTCGCAGCCTGCATATTCCTTGCACATCTGTAATTCTTCACTGTAGCTGCACCCACATTTTATGTCTCTGCAGCCAGGCCTTCCAACATTAGAAAACAGAAAACACTGCCCTTCTCATTTATCAAAGTTTCATTTTTTATATTTAACCGCTTGTTATCCGCCCTGTAGCAGTATTTCTGCTACAGGGCGGCACGGGTGTGCAAAAATCACGTGTATATATGTGATTTTGCAGTTCTGGGTAGGGCCTACCTGTGCCGCCATTTGCGGCCTTGGCTGTCAATCACCAGGTCCCAGCCGGTGTTTACTCGCTGGCACCCGGTGATTGCTGAGTAATACCAACGGGGTAGAGACCTGAATGTAAACAATACAGATCTCTCCCCTGTCAGCTCCTGCACACTGCTTTGTATGGCTCTGCATGCAGAGCCATACAAAGCAGTGTGCTTACAATGAAGCACACAGTTAACTCTTTGATTCTCCCAGATGTTAACCCCTTCCTGCTCAGTGTCATTAGTACAGTGTCAGTGCTTTTTATTAGCACTGATCACTGTATTGGTTTCACTGGGGATGTCAGTGACTCCAAGTCAATTCTCCCCAGTGTCAGAATGCCCGCCGCAGTCCCGCTATAAGTTGCTGATCGCCGCCATTACTAGTAAAAAAAAAAAAAAAAAAAAATTCCAGTATATATACCTCCATTTGTAAACGCTACAACTTTCATGTAAACCAATTCATTTACACATATTGGGATTTTATTTAGCAAAGACGTGTATCAGAATACATTTTGTGCCCTAAATTTATGATGAAATTTGTTTTTTTTTTTTACATTTTTTTATTGGACATGTTTAATAGCAAAAAGTCAAAAATATAGTTTTTCTTTCAAAAATGTCGGTCTTTTTTTTTTTTATAGCAATATTATCACACTGATTGGAGTCAAGGTTGGCTCACTCCTGGCTCCAATTAGCTCTGGGAGAAGTCATTAAGCTAGGGCCTCACATACTTTTTCCTCCCTGCACTGTGAATGTTTACATGTTATGTGCAATTAAACCATCGCAACATCTAATGTTTGTGTAGTATTATGTTCAGCAGACTGTTCTTCTATTGTGACTTAGATGACATTCAGAGCACATTTTATGCCCAATTCATGCAAAACTCCACGTAATCCCAAGGGGTTCACATACTTTTTCTTGCAACTGTAGATGCAGACCTTTTGTATCACCTTTCTAGGTGCCCTGAAACACTTGTTACGATGTCAGGCAAGGTGTCTCCCCTTGGCATATGGCCACCTGACATGAATGTACGAATAAAAACATTGGACTCTGGAGTGAAAATAGCCTAATAATATTTGATTTTCCATATAACGTACTAAACAAATGTACATGTAGTTACACAAGATACATGTAGTTACAAGATGAATAGCTCTGTGCATTTGTCATTAATACACTCTTAGTCCCCTTTCACATGGGGCAGATCTGCTGCTTTGCTCAGCCGAAGATTTGTCCGCTGATCCCCTGCTGAGCAGAGAAGGTGGATGACAAGTCCGTTTCCACTCACTGTTTGCAGAGCAGACATGGAACAAGCCCACTCTGATCTATGGCGGCCAGGTGTAAATGGACCAGCTGTCCATTTACACCTTGAGAATGACACAAATATTAATTTTCAAAAAGTGTTTTTAGATCTTTTTGTCAGATGTTACTATGGTATACTGAAGTATTATTACAAGCATTCCATAAATGTTAAAGGCTTTTATTGACAATTACATTAGGTTTTTGCAAAGAGTCAATATTTGCAGTGTTGACCCTTCGTTTTCAAGACCTCAGCAATTTGACCTGGCATGCTGTCAGTCAACGTCTGGGCTACATCCTGACTGATTGCATAATCAATGCTTGGAGTTTGTTTGAATTTGTGAGGTTTTTTTTTTTACCTGCCTCTTGAGGATTGACAATAATTTCTCAATGAGATTAAGGTCTGGGGAGTTTCTTGGCCAAGGACCCAAAATGTTGATGTTTTGTTCCCCAAGCCACTTAGTTTTCACTTTTGCCTTTTGGCAAGGTGCTCCATCATGCTTGAAAAGGCATTGTTCATCACCAAACTGTTCTTGGATGGTTGGGAGAAGTTGCTCTCTGAGGATGTTTTTGTTCTTTATTCATGGTTGTGTTCTTAGGCAAAATTGTGAGCAAGCTCATTCCCTTGGCTGAGAGGCAACCCCACACATGAATGGTCTCAGGATATTTTACTTATGGAATGACACAGGACTGATGGTACGCTCACCTTTTCTTCTCCAGACAAGGTTTTTCTCCGGATGCCCTAAACAATCAGAAAGGGGATTCATCAGAGAAAATAACTTTACCCCATTCCTCAGCAGTCTACCTTTTGCAAAATATCAGTCTGTCCCTGATGTTTTCCCTGGAGAGAAGTGGCTTCTTTGCTGCCCTTCTTGACACCAGGCCATCCCCAAAAGTCTTCTCCTCACTGTGTGTGCAGATGCACTCACTCCTGCCTGCTGCCATTCCTGAGCAAGCTCTGCAATGGTGGTGCCCCGATCCCACAGCTGAATCAACTTTAGGAAGCTGTCCTGGGTTCTTGGGCACCCTGAAGCCTTCTTCACAACAATTGAACCTCTCTCCTTTAAGTTCTTGATGATCCAATAAATGGCTGATATAGGTGCAATCTTAGTAGCAGCAATACCCTTGCCTGTCAATCCCTTTTTGTGCAAACCAATGATGTATGCATTTTTCCTTGCAGGTAAAGTACTATCTGTGTCATTCTCAAAAAGTTTGGCCAGGGCTGTGGACGGAGAATGGATTCCTTCTGTATTTCTTTTTTAGCTGACCATTGGTCTTTAGGGATGAATAGACTGTCCAGTTAGGTCCGCCTGAAAAACTGACAGGTGGACCTGAATGGAATGGCCTTGTGAAGGGGGCCTGATGTGTGGGGTTTTACCTTTATGTGTGTAATTTGTATTGTTGGAGTGTTATATGTCCAGGCTGAAAAGCTTGGCTTAATAGATGTTATCCAAGTGAATACTATGCTTTATTGTAACACTGATGAATAATGAATATAGATGTGAACATTTTAAAACATTTTTGTGATCACTTTATTAAAACAGAAAATCCTCTGAAATTCAGTTTTAAATCTTTAAAATGCTTCTTATATACTTGCTGTATTAAAAAACTGAGCAGTAGCTGTCACTTTGTTAGTATCTCTTTTGCTTACGTTAACTTTTGTTTTATGTTTACTTGCCGTTAAAAGCCAGCACAGAAAAAATGGATCATTTTAAACTAAGCAATGTTTTTTACCTTCTTCCAGGGACAGGGGGCGCTGTCAGAAAGACTGAGGAGTTTCAGCATGCAAGACCTGTCCAGCATTCGGGGTGAAAGCCCGTCACCGTCTCCGGTCACGCCACGCACAACAAGCAAAACCACTAAGTCTAAATTATCCCGGAGTTCAACCCAGGGCAGCGAGCCATCAGGTTGGTGGAGATGTCATAAAAACTTTGTCCTTGTCCACCATGTCACCCTCTCACCTAACATTTGATGTCCTAATGTGTCACTAGTGATCACACACTGGATTCACATTTGTCCACCGTGTCACCCTCTCACCTAATGATGTCCTAGGTGTCACTGTGATCACATGGACACTGAATTCACATTTGTCCACCATGTCACCCTCTCACCTAATGGTGTTCCTACATGTCACTGTGATCACACTGGATTCACATTTGTCCACCGTGTCCCCTCTAACCTATGGTGTTCCTACATGTCACTGTGATCACACTGGTTTCACATTGTCCACCATGTCACCCTCTCACCTAATGATGTCCTACGTGTCATTGTGATCACACTGGTTTCACATTTGTCCACCATGTCACCCTTTCACCTAATGATGTCCTACGTGTCATTGTGATCACACTGGTTTCACATTTGTCCACCGTGTCAACCTCTCACCTAATGATGTCCTACATGTCACTGGATCACACTGGATTCACAAACTGCCATTTTCAACAATACACAAACTATGTAGCTTACAACTGACAAGTTTGTTTCACTCAATCTAAGACCAGCATGCAGATTTATGAGGAAAGTTGTTCCAACCAGACACATCAATCTACACTGCTACTGTACATAAATAGTCCTAAATTTACAGATACATTCTTGAAGAAATATTCTGGTTAAACTGTACGTACTGACAAAAAATAGATTCTTTCACTTGAACCTGTCTTCCAAAAGTCACAAGGATTTCAGCTGTGCCAAGAGGCCTTGTTGGATTTAGGAGAGAGTGCAAAGATGGCTGGTATGATATTCAGGCTGTGGATATTTAAGTATTTGCATATTCTTAATTAGAGCCCCCAGTGAGCTCTGTAGCTACAGGCACTGTGGGGGAATTCATCCTCAAAGCAGAAGAACTGAAATTGCCTAAGTTGGATCTCTCAACAGCTCAGCTTATTCTCCTCCCCAGGGTGAGTGCTCAGAGGAAAGAAGAAGGAGGTGATCTGCTGAGTCACTGCTGGGAGGGGGAGCAGAGTTGGTTGAGTTTTTTTTTTCTTAATTTTTGTTGCCAGACAACAAAATATCAGATTACATGCATGGCTCATATCAGAGCTATACATAGCATATAACAAGGGTCCATAGTTAAACATGCAATCTCAGCAACGACCATTGTAAAGATCCACATGATGGAATGTGGAACTAAGCCAGGTATCAGTACTTAACCCTAGTCTAGCAAAGAAATTTTAAACTTTTCAATAAGAAAAGTAAGAGGAAGAAAATAAAAGCAGCAGTATAGACATTACTGTCCATCAGGACCATTGGAGTGCAAATTACACCATACAGGTAATTAATGAAGAATCCACCACACTTTCCCGCCACCCCCCTCATAAAACAGCAACCAGGGTTCTTTACTCATCCAAAACCTCTTCTATAGTCGATGGAGAATCCTCCCAGTGGAAACATAGTTCGTAAATTTTGTGGGACATCCATGTGCCTCATACGTCATTCTATAAAATGGTGGAGCAACATTAACCAACCCTCTTCACATAACAAGAGTAAGAGTTTCTTCAAAAATCCACCTTCTAGCAATACGTTTTCAAAGAAGAGGAGTCTAATAAATAGTTTTGTAGCATTACGAATTTCCTCATCTTCAATGATGCCCAGCAAACAGAGAAGAGGGTTGCAGATGTTAGGGAAGCGAAAAATTTATCCGCCATAAACTTTGTCACCTGTGGCCTAACCTTTAGGCATTCCCAAACCATGCGCAAAAATTTGCCTTCGAATGATTTACATTTATGACTTACGCACAGTCACTTCTACACATACAAAATAACCGTAATGGAGTGTAAGTGCTGTGATGTAGATAATGTATTTGCATTATTCTATCAATGTTGGTTGAGTTATTGAGCCCCTTCTGGGGGTAGGAAGGGTGTGAGCTGTTAAATCACAGCTGGGAGGGTAGCGGAGGGAGTTGAGCTGGGAAGGGGGAGTTGGTTGCTGAGCTGCT